TGTCTATAAATGGCAATCCTTACTGTTCAATGTTTCCATAACTAGTCAGTAAATAGTAACCACAATTAACATTAGTTCAGTTTTACTATTCTTTTATGGTTGTTAAATAAAAGGAAGATTTTACTATCTCCTTTATTCTTATGGTGTCAGGGTTCCAAATAACATCCAAAATTAAATCAGAGTCCAAGACAAAGTATTGATCAAAGTTCCAATTTATTAAGAGAGTCATGCTGGCATATCTGGGAAAACCCGAATGTTAAGCTTCTTCCATTTTGCCCCAAGTTAAAGTTCATGATTTTGCCCACATACCCACAAGTCTATCACAAGGTCCAATCTTCCACTGCCATGCTGGCAGTTCCACCCATCCAGTTCCGGTCACGTGTAGAAGTGTAGAGACATAGGATGTCCTTGGATTCTAGAAAGGAATTTTATTTTGGGAACATAACATTCTACTCCTTAGTATCCCCCCTCCCAATTCCCCACTAATGAAACATCATAGTAGAATAGAAAATTATTGTGGCAGGCCAAAGATGCAAAAGAAACATGGCTGCAAGCCTGACATATGGTTTGTTTAGCAGTTTTGCTGCTCTGTATTATTTCATAGTTTAATTTGAATTATATTACAAATTGTTAAATGCTTTGCCTGATCACATTTTTCTTATAAATGAGTCCACACAGTGGTGAGATTCGATATTCTGTGGGTGTGGCAGGGGAAGGATACTGCAAAATCTCCATTCCCACCCCACTCCGGGGGAGGATATTACAAAATCTCCATTCCCACCCCACTCTGGGGGCAGCCATAGGTGGTATTTGCTGGTTCTTTGAACTACTCAAAATGTCTGCTACCAGTTCTCCAGCACCTGTTGAATGTCACCCCTGAGTCCACATCTTGCAAATAGTACTAGGGATATGAGAGCAACAGTATTCAATTGTACATTCTTATATAATCATTGCAAATTTAATTCAATGGTGCTGTAGTTAAATATATTACTTAGCAAGATAGACCAGAGTCGATCTTTCCCTTTCAGTAGTAGAGGTTCATACTTAAGCCAACCTGCAACAGCAACAGCCCCTTTATCTTCTTTCCCTGGCTCTGTGAATATACCCCAAGTATGCACTATTTGAATCTTACCCTTTGTTGTAACATAAGTGTAGGCATGCATAGGTATGCTGGAACA